TAAATATTTAAATAACTGCATTTCTTTAACATAAAATTCTGAATGTAGTAGATAGTCATTCACTTGCCAACATAATTCGTTTTACGAGGTTATGTGCAATTTATGCTTTCTTGTTGTGTTATCAGAATAATAAATTAATTGAGAAAGCACTGTGCTTAAATATTTCAAACAATGACTGCCAATACAAATTGTAGCAATATTTCACAGCAGCGGTAATCAATGAATTTGCCAAGAACTTGTGACTTACCGCTTTTATGAGCACATTTTCCTCAGAACTAATTAATCATAGCAATAACATAAACAACTAGAAGAAAAACAAATAATTGAATTGGGTCATAAAACGTTGTATAGTAACATTACTCATTCGACTTCCAGCGCACAGAAAAATTAGATTACGCTAGATAAAAAGGTAACATGATGTTTGGAAAGGTTGAAAATAATCACAAAGTAAAGCTGAAGAACATGTGACATTGTGACCATTTTTCTGGAGACTGGGCTATCAAAAACACAAACATACACACACACTCATTTTGTAGTTTTTAAAATTACATTTATATTTATTTATTTTTTACCTCAAGAGGACAAAAAACAATCCTCATTGAACATTTCACTATGGTATTTTTCAGGCAATGCATTCTACTCAATGTGGAGTAGTCATCAAAATCATGATCTTTAGTATCAAGTGTATTACATATAAAACTAGAAAAGCTACACTTTCTGTGGAAATTGTGTGACATGTTCTTGCCTCCACCAGTAGTCTACAACTGGAGTGGGCGGAGTAACTGGGTGGAGTGGCTTGAGTAACTGTTGTGTGGTTGGAGTGGCTGGAGTAACTGTGGAAAGGTGGGAGTGTGGTTCACTCACTCTACAGCAGGGGCAGAGAAGAACGGTTAAAAACAAACTGCTCCAAATTGTTCAATAGGAATAATAATATATATGTGAGATAATAGTAAGTGGTCTTGCCATGTAGGGATAGAAATGTACCAATTTATATCAAAACGTTCATCTATCCCTGCTGCCACTGTGATGTTTTGTACAAATCAGTCAATAATTCCTGTATAACGAAGTACTCACTTTATTAATACATATATAACAGCATTTTCATATTGCAGCCTTGTTACACAGGGTTTCAAATCCCTCGAACATTCCACCAACTGCCAACAGGAACTAATAGATTTCAAATAGGGCAGAGAAGAGCGGTTAAAAACAAACTGTTCCAAATTGCTCACTTCACTGGTGATTGCCATCTTCAAACAGTCGTATTTTAAAAACGATAAATCCTACAGCGAAGAGCTTTATATTGTGAGAATCACAAGACCCAGACCTAAATTTTGATCCATAGTATGTCTCCAAGTATTAACAATGAAGGCACAGTCGCAGTTAAGATATTGCCCTTCAAATTTGAGGTGGCTAGAGTGGAGTTTCAATGAATGTCAATGGACGGCGTGAGTTGCAAACAAATGGTCATATTGTGAAAACTATCAGGACTATGGCTTAGCCGTGGACATGTTTAGTGGCAGCAGGGATAGCTGAACGTTTTGATATAAGATTTGTGTAGGTGGGCTTGAAAATGAGGGAGTGGTGGCAGTTTAGAAATCATGTCCTGATTTTTCAGCTTTTGCCAGCTCCCACTCTAGTTTTGAACATTTCGCCATCCATTCCTATGGGATCAATTTTGCCACAAAAACGACAATATTTTGTGAACCATTCGGCGAAACGTTCCACAAAGTAATAGCACACCAATCGTGAACAGTCCGCCCGTTTCGGTATATTACTGTCTATGTAGTGTAAAAACTGTGGGAGGAGTTAGGGTGGTAAATTTGGCTATAATAATAATAATAATATATATGTGAGATAACATTAAGTGGTCTTGCTATCAAGAACACTTAATAACATGTAGAAAATATTTAGTTGAAAACTTGCAATTGAAAACATGTAGAAAACATATAATTGAGATCAAAGGTAAACACTTTGCAAAGTGTTGAGCAATCCTTGTTCCATAACTACTACAACATGTAGTTTTTATGGTGCTTGGAGTGTCTCTTTAACACAAGTTTTGTGGGTGTGTGTCAAATATGGCATCTGCAGTATCAACTCACCTTGTGAGCAAATAAAGAAGAAGAAAAAATAAGACAATAAAAAATAATCAAAACTTACTGAGGAGCCCAATCATATAGATAAAACAAATTAGTTATTAGTTGCATCCAATATACCAGTTATCCCAAATTCCGGATATTATTGGGATGCATATATTTTCCATCTCACATTCGATAACTCACTGATATGATGAGCGAGTTACAGGTAATCCTGTTTTAATACATGCTTATTATTTTTTAATGTTTTTTTCTTTGTTGGTTTATACACTCATGGTTTGGAAGTTGTTTATCCCTGTTGTACCCATGTACATATATATTATCGATGCATACAATCTTCCTGTTTATGGGTATCCTTTGTGACCATAGCTATGTGATTATATTTGGGAGGATACTGATCAATATGGGTGGCCACCCATTACACTAAGTGTGTTTTGCATTGGTATTTTGTTCATTTTGTTGGGCAAAGAAAGGTTTTTTTTTTTTTACTTTTTACAACATTCTCCCTTGATAAAAGCAATTCTGACTTTCTCCCTCTTCTCACTTTTTCTGTTAATTTTCTTTTTATGGTATGTATTACTTGGTGGGTAGTGATGTCCCGAACGGTTCGCCGAATGGTTCGCCGAACGGTTCACCATGGATGGCGAACATATGCGCTGTTCGGTCCGCCCCCATGTCATCATTGAGTAAACTTTGACCCTGTACCTCACAGTCAGCAGACACATTCCAGCCAATCAGCAGCAGACCCTCCCTCCCAGACCCTCCCACCTCCTGGACAGCTCACTAAGAATGCAGCTTCACAATGAATGTAAAATGGATGCCGTCCAGGAGGTGGGAGGGTCTGGGAGGGAGGGTCTGCTGCTGATTGGATGGAATGTGTCTGCTGACTGTGAGGTACAGAGTCAAAGTTTACTCAATGATGACATAGGGGCGGACCGAACAGCGCATATGTTCACCATCTGTGGCGAACCGTTCGGGACATCACTATTGGTTGGTAGTTTTTTTAAGGTATCTATGTGACTCTATACCAGAAATACCATTACGGTATTTTCTTGGTGTTTTCTATGAATACATGTGATCGTGGTATACCTTGTATTTTTTTCTGTACTGAGCATTGTTTTGATATTATTGTTAATGTTTTTGGTATGAGTTTAACCACTACAAACTTTACAATGCACTTTACTAAGAACATTTCTGTTATCATATTTCTAATCTCTCTCCTACACCTGCTACTACTTTTTCTTTGCAGTTAACTAATATTTAGTGTATAGATTACTATTTTTTGTTTTGCCGAAAGACTTATTTCACACTGCATTACAAAAACCAGTTTAGACAGCATTTTGAAACAGCATGCATACGTTAGTTGATAATCCCCAAAATGCAGCCCTACCAATCTAATACCATTTTCAGTATTGTAATATGTTTGCACATTTCCTCAGATCATTTCTTAAAAAATTATATACTATTAACAACAAAGCAATTTCACTTGGTTAAAAAAATATTACTCGTGTACAAAACAATAATTTTAATACTATTGAGTTTTTCCAGTTCAATTTTTGATAACAGTATTTACTATATATTGTCGTGTCATATGGAATAGTCATTCCTTGTGTTTTTTTTAACTGTACACCTTCAAAACTTACATATAAGATAGGGATATTCCTTATAAGAACAATCATTTTTTGCAGCTTTCTTTTGTGCAACGTTAAAAATGTTCAATAGACCACAAAAATGTGAAAGGTCAGAAATAACGCTTTGAATTACTGGTTAATTATGTTAGTACCCATAGGCACATCAGGTGATTCCTGGAGCTGTTGCGTGGCTGGAAGTTTAGATATATGGCAGTGTCTATTGAAGTATAGTGAACAGTTTTTTATAACAAGAGCCAGGTCAACACCAACCTTCGGGGTTGTTATGCTCAAAGCAGATATACAGGCATTTTAACATAACATAGGAAGTCACAGTCCTTTTGTGATGTTATGCTTTTTTAAACATGGTGACATATTTAATCCTTTCAAATCCTCTACCCCCCCCATCACCCCCAGAATCCTTTTAAAATACGATCTTCTAGTGATTTGAATGTCTTCCTTACTATGCCTCATTTCCCTCTTAATCTTTGTCATTTACTGTTCCAAGTGTAATTTTAATTTAAGAATTGGAGACACTAGCTATGTGTCACACTCCAATTTGATAAATGCTGTCACTTGCATTAATGTAGCACAGATTATTATACAGGTGCCTTGCCCGTCATGCACTGCAAGCTGTCTGAAAGCTTGCAGTGCATTACAAGGGTGTATACACATATAAAATCAGTGTACCTGCTATTTGCGTGTCTAAGACAAGTAAAATGAAACTACAAATAACTCATCATCATGTTTGCTTATCCCCTTTTTAACAAAATGTTGAATTAAACTTAACTATGTCAGATTCTGAGTGACAGTGTGGATGTAATAAGCTATTGCTGCATATCCACATTTCAATATACAGTTAAAGGGTTTATACAATGAATTTTGTTGAATCTGAAAAAAAAACACATTAAAAAAAGCCAAATCTAAATGACTCTAATGATTCAAATTTTGGCATAAATGTTAAAAATTAGAACTATTAGGGGCATGGTCTGAAGTCCGAGCAGCATGGACATCTGAGACTCGAGCTCCTCACTACCGAGCTACTAATAGCTACTTGCTGCAAACCTGATTTACCCAATGGGGTGCACCAAGTGACAGGAGCACCCACAGACCCCCAAGGCAACACCACCCCCGCCAATGTCAGGCCCGATGGACGACTTTCTTCAAACCCCGCTGGGACCTAGTTGCGAAGCGCAAAGACCCAAGATTGTCTCCTGATTCAACCAGCTCGAAGCACGAGCAGCCCACGCTGAGCGATATAGGAGCGGAAATTAGGAAGATGGGGACTGTGATGGTCACCAAATCAGACCTCCAAACACTGGCTGACACCCTCACAACATCCCTCACCTCGTGGGTGACAGCATTGCAGGCTGATGTGGAGGCGCAAGGAGGCCGTATAAGGGCACTTGAATCTAAGGCCCAGAATGAACAGCAGCAGGCCATGCAGCAGACACAGCCATATCAAGACAGGGTGGCATGCTACTAACCCTGCTCCGCCAGGAGCACGTGTTTTTCGGTTATGCAAATGGTGGTCACCCAGAGAGAGCACTTGAGTTAAGTGTTGATAACCGGAGCAGTCGCTCCAATATTAGGGTTTGGGGTGTGCCAGAACGGGAAGAGAATGTGGAGGTGCTGCTGATAGGGCTCTTCTGTCGGATTTCTGGTGGAGGCTGCTTCTACAGAAATCTGATTTGAGCAGGCTCACCAGGCCTTATGACCTCGGATCAGAGAGGGGGACCCCCGAGACCTAATTTGCTGTCTACACTCTTTCCCATTTAAGGAGCGCATTATAAGACAGGCCCAAACGCGGGCTACGTGGAGGTTTCAGGGCTCTGAAGTGTCACTGTTTAACAATCTCTCCCCTGTCACCCTTGGGACGATAATGGCTTTAAGGCCTGTTACATCAGCTTTGAGAGAACGGAACATCCTTTACAAATAGGGCTTTCCGTTTAGCTTACAAGTCCATCACCATAATGAATGAATCGTAGCATGATGGTCTGAGGAAATACCACTCTTCCTACAATGCCTAGAGCTTCCGCCTATAGGGGTTCTGGATTGGGTTTTGGAACCACTGAATCGCAGACCCCAACCTCAAAGGCAGCATCGACGCCTCTGCAGGGGCTCCAGAGAGAAGCGTCCATGCACTGTGCCCCCTTAACCCCTCAAAAAAATTAGAACTAGTTGTTTTTTCCCTTGGGCAAATAGTAAAATCCCTAGGTACTATGGGAAGTAATCATGTGGTGGCTGGCATGTGTTTTGCTAGCCAGTCACCATGTGATAGTAAAAATAAATAAATAATATATATATAGATTGGAGTAGCCGTATTAGTCCAGTAGACAAGATGCCAAAATACCAGAGTATTGCAGTATGCAATGATATCTTTTTTTATTGGACTTACATAATATTTCAAAGACAAGCTTTCAAGAGCTCTTCCTCAGGTCTGAAGCATTAATGGTCAATCTGATATAAACATTACATACTTCCTTCTAGCCATACTAATTTATACCAGCAATGGGTGAAGAGAGAGGCTGAAAGTGGCTAGTTGACACTTTTAGCCAATCACAGCCACTCAATGCTGCTTATGTTAATACTTCCTCATTAGTGTAAGTACCACAAAGGGCATAGGCTGCTGAAGACTCTTGTTTACCACGAAAACATTAAAATCACACTGAATGGAAGTGTGCCTTCACTGTCACAGAAGCCATAAACTATCACATAGAGCCCTATGTAACTCTCCTTAAATTGTCGAACCTACTTGATCCCTTGGGTTTGGTACTGTTCAACTACCGAATACAGACCATCCGCCTGGCTCGTTAACACAAAAAACACTTAACTCAAGTGCTCTCTCTGGGTGACCACCATTTGCATAACCGAAAAACACGTGCTCCAGTGAATGGCAGCCATCTTGTCTCCCGAACGCAGGCAGCATTACTTGGTTGTCGAGTGCGTGGAACTATACTTCAGACACTTTGCATCGCGAATCCCCGGAAGATCGCACCACTGCCTACTTCGTCACCAGGCAAGCCTGGAGAGCGCTATTCAGGAAAAATACTCTCCCGAATGGGGAGAACATTCACTCCCTATGAGCCAGGGGGAGCCTTCGATTACAAGTGAATAGGAACTCCCAAAAGTTAACCGGCCGCTACTCTTTTTCTTATGAAATTATTTTGGGAATTTGCCACGTGTGCAGTGGGTCAAACCTTTACCCTGATGGCGATTTGGCTATACTGCATGGATCCGAGCGCTATTTGGACAACTTGGGCGCACAGATCCGTAAGAGATCCTATCTGTTTTACATGTGTTTTATGTTTTTTTTGTTAAAAAATATTGTACCTCTAGTGTCTGGGAGGTAAGGTAAAAGTATATACAGTAATCTCTCAGACACAGAGACGCCTGGGTGGGGCTACTATTTTAAAGCCTGGAGATCCCCTGCTGGGGGTCTGTGTACATAAGCAGGCAACTTGGCCTTAATAAAACAGTCCTTCTTGAATCCAATACAACTGGTTGCGTCCAATATATTGGGGAATTTCTATACGAAGTGGGAGAGCTATAATCAGTACCAAACACATCTGGAACTAGGACTAGCGAAGGAAGTCAGGAACAACATTAATCTAGCAACCCTTGACACACACTATAACCCCTTCAATTAAATAAAGCATTAACAGTGCATCCCTTTAAGTGTAGCAAATGTATTTTCTCATCCACAATGATTCACTTATCAAATCTATAAATATATCAGTTGATGTTTTCCCACGTTATCGATTCGTTTTGCCTGATTGATTATACACAGTTAAACAAACATCTATCTGATTCAAATGCATTTTATGGATGGATAGAAATTTACCAATTTATTTCTCACACAGTCAGCATTTTAACATATCATTTGCTTTAACACCTACCAGGAGATGAGGCCATTAAGTGCAGTTTGCGCAAGTGCCAACATTCTGTCAGATTGTGCTTTCTTTCTTATTTTTT